TTTTTTATTTTCCATAAACATCGTTGTTATGATTTTTTAAATCCAATTCTGCATCCTTGATTGTTATAGATTTGAAACAATCATATTTCAAGAACGAATGGAGATATCATCACGAAATAAAGAACATTTTAAAGGAAATTTGATGAAGATTCAATGTTTCAAAAATAATTTCTTAGTTTCCATAAACATCGTTTTTATGATTACTTAAATCCAACTCTGCATGCTTGATTGTTATAGATATAAAGCAATCATATCTCAAGAATGAATGGAGATATCATCATGAAATAAAGAATGTTTTAAAGCAAATTTGGTGAAGAATTAATGTTCCAAAAATAATTTCTTATTTTCCATAAACATTGTTTTTATAATTTCTTAAATCATGCTTGATTGTTATTGATTTGAAACAATCATATCTCAAGAACGAATGGAGATATCATCATGAAATAAAAAACATTTTAAAGCAAATTTGATGAAGATTTAATGTTTCATAAATAATTTCTTATTTTCCATAAACATCGTTTTTATGATTTTTTAAATCCAACTCTGCATGCTTGATTGTTAAACATTTGAAACAATCATATCTCAAAAAAGAATGGAGATATCATCATGAAATAAAGAACATTTTAAAAGAAATTTGATGAAGATTTAATATGCCATAAATATTTTTTTATTTTCTATAAACATCCTTGTTATGATTCTTTAAATCTAACTCTGCATGCTTGATTGTTATAGATTTAGAAGAATAATATCTCAAGAACGAATGGAGATATCATAATAAAATAAATAATGTTTTAAAGCAAATTTGATGAAGATTTAATGTTCCATAAATAATTTCTTATTTTCCGTAAACATCGTTATTATGATTTTTTAAATCCAACTCTGCATGCTTGATTGTTATAGATTTAAAACAATCATATCTCAAGAACGATTGGAGATATCATCATGAAATACAGAGTATTTTAAAGTAAATTTGATGAAGATTTAATGTGCCATAAATAATTTCTTATTTTCCATTAACATAGTTGTTATGATTTTTTAAATCCAACTCTGCATGCTTGTTTATTACAGATATGCAATATAAATGTCAAAAAATTGTATCTCAAGAACGAATGGAGATGTCATCACGAAATAAAAAACGTTATAAAGCAAATTTGATGAAGATTTAATAAGCCATAAATAATTTCTTATTCTCCATAAACATCGTTGTTATGATTTCTTAAATCCAACTCTGCATGCTAGATTGTTATAGATTTGAAAAAATCATATCTCTAGAACGAATGCCCAGTAAACAAATTTGCGTTTCAGAAACATTTCTGATACATATTATTGAAACATGAAACGTTTCTTCGACATATTTCTGAAACATAGATGAAACGTGTCTGAAACTGCTAATGTCCGACCCTTTTTATGTTTTATTGAAACGTACAAAATTATCAGTCAATAATTTCTACTATTCTGTTTTTTCATTGATTAGGACATATAAAGTAAGTATAAGAGTAGGTATGCATTAAATATATTTAGTAAATATGTATACAAAATATATTAATATGGTAACTAAAATAAAATTCTTATTTGTAAACAAATTAAACATAAACATTCCAATAATTTATGTAGGTCATTTAAATACACTGTTGGAAATAATTCACGAGCACACCCTGTATAATCTGAACGCGTGTGTCTAGCGCAATAAAATTTGGTATGGAAGTAGTACTAAAGTAGTGTAACTTACTCTCACATGGAGAACGGCACAACTCTGCTGGGAGGAGAAACATCAATAGAGAGAGTATCCCCGTGAGCTTCGCGTACCATCTCTACACGACGTGGCATGGAGTCTATAAGTCGCTATATTGTAGCGAGAGGGATGGCCAACCATACCACCTCAACTCGCCTCCATAGCTCCTCAACGTTAGCCGAGGAAGCCGAATAACGTAGAAGTCTCCGACCAGTCATGTCCCAAACATGTTCAATCGGATTCAGATGCGGAAACCGAGCTAGCCATGGAAGCATTCGTATACGGTGCTCTTCCACAAAGGTCTATACAACACGCCCGATGTGCTGTCGTACGTTGTCGTGCATGTATAGCAGACCTAGGAGCCGCCGAACGTAGGGAAGCACAACGAACCGTAGCACCTCGTCGACGTATCGTTGACCCGTCATGGTCTGCTATACACGTAGCAGACGTGTACGTCCACCATATGTAATCGCAGCCGATACCATAATGCTCGGTTGTCGGTGGATAGGGCGTTCTTGCACACACTGCTCAAGTAGACGGTGATCACGGCTCCGACGAACTAAAATTCGCGCATCACCGGTGCTCAATTCGAATCTTGATTCGTCGGAAAACAAAATGTCCCTCTACTCGACAACCTACTAATGCCTAGCGTCGACCCACTCGTGACGTATGCTGCGGTGCTCGGGTGTTACTGGAATCCGCTGTATCGCACGACGCGCGCGCAGTCCACTGCCACGA